AGTTGTGAGGATTGGTCTATTTTCTATGTATATTAGGTATGTATTTACAAAAAAATCTAAGTATTTGTATCAGTTGTCTAGTGCTCATAAAACAAGCTCTGCTTATGTTAGGACTAGATAACGCTGTATGACATATTATTATTAATTTTAGACCAAAAACTTCTATGCATCCGTACCAGGGATGTTATGGATATGAAATTTCGGATACGGATAGGTTTCGGATATAGTATTGATTATTATACCGGATACGGATATAAAATTATTCCGGATTATCTGTTAGTTTCGATTAATTTCGGTTACGGATATAATTTTTTTAAAGAATTCCAAAAGAAAAAGCAAATAGCTAATAATATGGTTACATAACGTGTCTCAATTAGGCTCCGCCCCTATCCGATATTATCCGAAACTCTTATTTCGGACGCGGTTATGGTTACGAATATTTTTTTATACCGGATATCCGATAGTTTCGGTTATGGTTACGGAGGTCCCTAACATCCCTAATCGGTACCTATATCAGTCTCAATTATTACAGACGCCAAGTTTGCTTTATATCCTGTTTTTCGGTTGTAGGGTGCAGATTAGGCTGCGAAATTAGATACGAGACGTGACAGTTATCCAGAACGGCACCGCTCGTGATAACGTGATATCATGATACTTATTTATCTGTATAGAATATCAGGTAGGCGATCAGATTGTGTGCCATATCAAATACTTTAAAAAATTGCTCATCAACCAATAACTAAAACTCATAACATTTTATAACTTTTAGGACTAGTAATGACTTCGAACGTATATGTTTTAAAAGCCGCTGTCGCATCAATAAATAATTGGACCCTATTAATACCGTAAGAGACGGACATACCTGAAATTAAAAGGTTAGAACGAGACAAAACATGGTGTTATTCTGGCTTGCAGTTGGGTGACCATGTATGAGTCACCGGAACTTTGAAAGATAGCTTTGTTACAATGCATATATATTCCAATTCAATGTAACAGCTAACAATGTAAACGAATGTCCTCTCGCGTGCATACTGCAATTGTAGTTTAAATATTTAATAAGAATAGATTAGAACATGAGTGTACAGTGACCGTGTGGTTTATTAGTCTGACTTGTAAACATGCAAGGACGTGAGTTCGAATACAATCGTTATAACTTTGTATGTCAATTTATAGTTGGAAATTATGAGTGTTGGTTGTAATAACTGCTCTAGTCAATATGATTGGTTTACTTCGTTTACTGCAATAATTTTTATTCTACTATATATTCCACGCGACATCGTCTGATTTATTGAAATAAAAAATAGTTTATGTTCGTCCTCTTGATACAATCTATCGTTATTATCTGAACAAATAAATAAAACTAGTATATACACCAAAATCAAATGAAATGGCTGGACCGATTTTGACGGGACTTTTATTGGCAGGTAGCTGACGTAATAAAAACTAACTTAGGCAGCTTTTATTTTAGATAAATAAAATTAAATTCCACGCGGATGAACGGACGAAGTCGCTGGTACAGCTAGTCATACATAAAAAAATACCAATAATTAATATTAAATTATTGGTATAATATTAATTGGTATTTTTTTATAATGCTGACGCTGTCTGTCCCTATGTATGCTTAAATCTTTAAAACTAAGCAACGGATAATGAAGCGGTATTTTAATAGATAGAGGGATTCAAGAGGCTTATATGTATAATACATGTACACCCGTGCACTGCCGGGGTGGGTAGCTAGTATTAGAATAAAGAATATATTTCTTACTGATGTCTGTGATAGAAAATTCTGTAATAAATTAAATTAATCTTAGAGTAATTGTCTCTATTCTATATCATTCTCTATTCTCTTTATTTTCAATTAAAATAGTCATGAAACTATTTTATAATTAGTACAGAATATATGGATACAATATAAGTCTAAGTCTATTGTATTGTCCATTGTGTTAGGGAGAATGGGCAAGAAACTCATCTGTTATTGCATAAATAAAGAAACTGTCACACAGCAAAATATAAATATAATTTCAGTTATAAAATAAAACAAACCCCAGTCACAGGCAAAGTCCATATTTAAATTTTAAAGCTACACTACAGCGTGATTATGTTACATATATATGTATATCTTATATACAAAACTCTCGTGTCACAATGTTAGTTATCATACTCCCCCGAAACTGCTTGACCGATTTTTATGAAATTTATATTTTATTCTGAAGGTCTGAGAATCAGGTAATATCTATTTTTCATACCCATATTCATAAGTGATAGGGGTTGTCCACCAGTAACATTAATTTCTTTGGACATTTTTTTATTTTTACGTTGTGGCATTAAAAATACACATTACCCTAAATTTTCACAAGCATTAACCTCTGTTTTTAAAAAGCGATTTTAATTTATATGGCAAAACAACGTTTCCGGGGTATTATATACATAGTATATATTTAGTACATACATATATCGTACATAATACAAGCATTAAAACTGATTTAATCATTCAATAAACTTACAATTAAATCCAAATTTATTCTATACTAGATTTTGTCCGCGCCTTCGCTAGCATTAATTTATCCCCTTAGGGGTGGAATTTATCAAAATCGTTTCTTAGAGGATGCCTACGTCATAGTAGCTTTATGCATGCAAAGTCTCAGCCCGATCGGTTTAAAATTGACAAAGTTTTATACACACTTTCATCCTATTTTATCTCTTTTGGGGATAGAATTAATCAAAATCCTTTCTTTGCGGATGCCTACGTCATAACATCTACCTGTATGCCAAATTTCAGCCCGATCCATCCAGTGGTTTGGGCTGTGCGTTGATAGATCACTACGTCTGTCACCTTTGAGTTATATATCTCTAACTGTCATATTTAGCATTATTAAATGTCAACGAAGCGATTCATTTTAGTAAATACTACTGTTAAATTAATTTTCGATACTCAATGTCTTGTTTTTTAGTAATAATGTATAATACATAAGTTTTTTTTAATGACTGTATGTGTCATAATAAAGAGAAAAAATATATATATATATTTAGATTTAAATATAAACTTTCGTATCTCCGTTAACTTTTTTTATTAGAACTTGCGGAACAAAGGACAAATTACCATTGTATGGGAAACAAATCGCAGTACAGTTTTAGCGAGAAGTCTAGGATCGTGACTAATAGCAAATAGGATCTAAGTTATTAGTACTTGCCTTATAAGTATAATATTGCACGGTAACTTTGTTGCGCGTGCATCTGGCACACCTGACACTTAATCGTGATGACTCAGTATAACAGAATTTTTTATGTAAAGTTACTTGGACGGATATTTATATTCTTTATTGATGACGAAGGAGATCCGCTAGCACCAGTGAATTGATAGAGTGAAGTTAGTTTAGTTAGTTGGTTATACGGTAGTGTTCTGAAGGAATGGAGTCGACCAGTCACCATTTTTACAATCCTATTCCCAGAGGGAAGAGTCTCCTTACATATTATTTTTTTTGTAATCATAAAAATGGAATAGTGCAAATGCTTGCGCTATCGGTATATACTTTTTTTATTAATTATAATGTTAGTTTCTCGTCTGTTATGTTTAATTTCTCATTGGATGATGTATATTAACTACTTCAGCCGTGATTTGACACGGAAATAATGTAATCGGTATATGCTGAAAGGGAACATTACAGGATTATAGGATGAGGTTACATCATCGTGACGAATTCATCATCAATTACCTACAAGAGAAGGGTTTTTTTAGTAATGTGGACCAACGAACTCATTGCTGGCAATGTACCACGTCAGGTTCTATATACGCGGTTTCACACAGCGCCATCTAGACCCAAGTTAAGCTAGCTAAAGCTTGTGTTATTGGCACTAGACAACTGATTCAATTACATATATATTTTTCGTAAATACATACAAAATATACATAGAAAACACCCAGACCCATACAAACAATCATACTCATGAATACAAATGTGTGTGCTGTGCGAGGAATCGAACCCGTGACCATCGGTTGTAAAGCGTTGTGTTAATCCGTTAGACCATCTAGGTCGTCAAGTCTAAATGATCTGATGTCATGGTAATATTATCATCTTAGACTTGTCCCGCCAGCGAAAACCGCAAGCGCAGGCAGGTGCACCATTCCATTTTCAAAAATTAAAAAAAAATCTATTAGTTTTATAAATATACCTAAAAACTTTCGAAGTACCTACGTTAACTACATAGCTCTTTACCAAAATAATTAAGTTCGGGATTGGAGCGAGGGTCGGAACCAATCTAGATAGACCGATACGTAATTCTTCCTACGGGAGCTATGAGATAACAAATGATGAAACAATGACGCTATGGCCCACGGAGGCATCGCAGCCCCTCCCCCCTCACGCCGCGCTGGTAGCGCTGCGCCGTTGCCGTTCCGTTCCCGCCTTCGCCTCCGCGCTGCAACTGCCGGTATTACCATCTTTGCGATTACCATTATACCAGGGTAATTTTACCTCTTCTATAGTGGGCAAAATTTAATTTTCCTGCTTATTAGCTATTTTAGAGGGCTTAAAAATAGGATTATTAATAAAAATTTACGTTTGTAATATGATTAATTAATTAATATTCCTATATAATGAAGGTACAATAAGAGATCAAACATTTTTTATTTTTACATAATAAAATAAATAGGTTATTTATGCAAAATTATAATTTAAATCTTATCTTATATGCGATGTCTTAGATATAGAATTTCTTGTCATTAAAATACTAATATTGTATAATTTAAATCAAATAAAGAATATAATAAAAAAGACTGACTACTATTGGTATATAAATATTTTTTTAATTTCAAATGAAATGCGTTCTTCAAGAAAATATTTAAATATTTTATTGTTGTAGTGGTTTCGTTAATATACATGTATACTTTGAACAATTTAGGGATTTGTGGCAGTTTCAGAGGATGTAACCAGTGCGCTTGCTCGAAAATTGTTGGCAACACTAGCAACTGCTCGTCGAGTCCATATCGCGTGGTACTCCCTAACGAGCGACCGTGTGGTAGAAGCTCGCTCGCCCGCGACGCCGTCTCTAACAAACTTACAAACTCACTTTCAAACCTGTTCCGCTAACAAAAAATCATTATTACAACATAAGATTCACTTCTCAACTCTATGAATTCCTCGCATTGAAGTGCGCTATAGAGCCTGTGAGTTCGGTAACTTTGAAAAACTTTATAAACTTTGTTTTTAAGCTGTTCGTGTGCATGTGTGAGCTTTAAAGTCATGGCTGGTCAAAATTCCCACTAAACCGGTAAGTAAAACGGACTCTACTGGAAAAAATATATGGAGATCGAAACGATTGGGTATCTATTTTGTTTTACGCGGTGGTGAATGTAATTATAGAATTTAATATGATCATTTAAGAGTAGTGTTATATTATAATTGCACTTCTATATTTATGTAAAGAAACGCCTGTGCAATTGAGAGTCGAGAGCTCTTGTTTATTGATGTTTAATTTCTACGAAGTGTTGCATTGTTTCAAAGCTAACGCACAAAGTTTATTGTTTGCTGTTATCGCATTCTCAGTATAGTGTATGTCATTATCTCTCGTGTCTTGAAGAAAGTAGGCACTTAATACATATGGGATTTTAAAACAGCCAATATTTTTAGCTATCGTCACATTATGAAATATCTTAATTCTAAAGTATAGTAAGGTGGTATTTTATTACATATAAAACTAGGTAATATTCATAAGTAAATTGGTATTAATTGTAATAAATGATCGGAATTGGTTTTGAGATTGTACCAGCAGATCTATTAGAGGTATCGTGTGCGCACGCTGCAAGAAGGCAGGCATTATAAGTGTCTGTGAGTTCTTTGTTTCACAAAAACCTGACCAATTATAAAGATATTTTTTATCATTGATCGAGTGGGTAGAGTTTTTCTTTACAAATAATTATTAGGATAATCCAGGCGATTAAAAAATACAACCTATATAAAATACCTACTGTAACATTAAAAATACTTACTTTAGAATTGAATATCTGTTCTTATCAGGAGTCGTTTTGAAACTCAAATTGGACAACAGTTAGTCACCGATTACAACGAACTGTACCTATTAAGTTTCCATCCTTCCCAAGTTTTCGTACAAATTTAGAAGCTTTTGTCTTACTCAGTAATTTTAAGACAAACAACATCTGACTGGATATTGAGTGGGTTTCTGAATTTAAATCCATTGTTCCGATTGTAATATTTCAGTTTACAGTTTAAATTCGGAAGACAATGTCTCATTACGTACCTATTTGTTGTCACAAATCGTGCTGTAGAAGGTGCGCCAGTGCTCATTAGGGCCATTAATTATCAGCAGTGTTAATTGAGTTCCCTAGGTATTAAATGATCTTCGACTTAAACCTATTACGCAACTTCTAGTGAGCTTTAGAGATAAACCGTTTATCCGTCATTGTCGAGATAAGCCGCGTAAAGAGTAAGTAAGTCAATAGAAGTGCAGGCAGTGTCTTCTAACATTGAATGATTTTTTATGTATCTGGAACAGCAAAGGAAAGGGATAGCCGTCGCTTATAGCATTGTCACTAGAGACATCATAAAATGGATTTGCGACGTCAGAAGGCTTAATCTTCAGGACTAACGTGTTGTGCCTCTGTACTGTTTGATATAACTGCAATATGTCATATTTCAAACTAAAACAGTGTCACAAACATCCCAGATGGTTTAGTCAGTTTATCAAAGAACGAAAAAGCGATGAAAACAATTTTTGACTTACCAAATTTTGCTGGGAATATTGTAATCTATCCACCTTTCATTTTTTATCACAGTTTCCATCACTGAAGCTGCAGTCAAGAATAGGAAAGAAAAGGCGGTAGATGCAGGCGATTTAAATTTTATGTATATTGAAACCGCAAAATGTAGACACCAAACTTTTTTGGTGTCGACCAGATTAGAAATGAAACAAGAAACTTTTTTTGGGAGAGAAAAGGAGGGGTGACGCAATATATTCTTACTTCATTACAAACCAAATTGTTTCTAAGAAGACACGAAAATGTCTAAATCACAGTATTAAGTCATTGGCCAGTGCTGCATTGTTAATGAAACTCATTACATTAATGACGTTGCTGCCCAAATATTTATTAGCTACAACTGAGTAAGGACTACGAGTAATTAATAGTACTTTATTAGATAAACGATTTAGTAAACCTTTACGCGTGCTTTTTAATATGAACATTGCTTATCAAATAGGCCTTCTTTTAAAATCTATACATAATCTATGTAATAACTTTTAACCCAGGTGGAAAGGCCAGTCTCATCTATTTCATCAGCCAAGTAACTTGCTTTGTAGGATTAAAGGGAGATGAGGTAGTGAATTTACAGAGTAGAGAGGCATATTGTAAATGACTAGTTGACAGCCGACTTGACGGTAAGTGGTAACAGTAGTTTATATAATATAGGGTCTTAATAAACTATGCGATGGACTAAACTTGCGAGACTTAGGAAACCCTTCCGTGCGTTGAAAACTACGGTATCGCACATGATATTTAAATTCTCATCATTGATACCAGAATTTAGCACCTGAAGCTGCAACTAGTTAATACTGGTACATCTGTTTAGTCTATTGATACTCCTGTCTTTTTTTAATAAAAGATTATAGAGTTTCTCGCCTAAGCTAATGGTTTTCGCTAACAGGGCGCTAGTGGATGATGAGAAGATGAACATTTTTAACTGGTGATCTGTATTACAGGTTATGCCTATCTCAGACACCAGCTCCTCACAGCAAATCGATTAAAATAATAAATTTAAGTATTTTACTATAAAAAATACTACATGTATTGTTGCCATTATGTTTGTGAGGAGAAATAAATAAATCATATTATTATTATTATAATTGATGAAAATGGAATTGTGTACCCGCCAGCTCTTACGGTTAACACTGGTGAGACACCAGTTTGATATGATAATATGAGCATGTCAGGTAGAACGATTTTGTCCAAACTTGGTTTCCAGGGCGAATCGTATGGAGGTCAATTTGACATGGCAATGTATAGTGCTAGCAATGGAATCTTCAATTCACAATACTAACAATTCTCTTTTCCCCCATCTTCTCGTGTTAAACAGTAGTATATTTGAGTCAATCTCTATCTATTTAAATCTAATAAAAATATTAGTTGACTTATTAAAAGAATGAAAGAATGTCACAAATTTTTTCGTACTCTTGGTTTATAATAGAAATTACTAATATAGTACAATTAAATGTAGACAAATTAGAAGAATGAATTACAATATCGTGATTGTTAATAAATTATTAAAACGAATTAATATTTACAATTCTTATAATTGTCAATTTTACGGAAGACGTGCTAAAGAGTTCGTCGCTTAATCAGAGTTTTAGTAACAACTTTCTTCCAACCATTTTACGATTTAACATAATGTAATAAATTATTAAAACGAATTAATATTTACAATTCTTATAATTGTCAATTTTACGGAAGACGTGCTAAAGAGTTCGTCGCTTAATCAGAGTTTTAGTAACAACTTTCTTCCAACCATTTTACGATTTAACATAATCGGCAATTCATATCAACAGGCCTGATTTATGGATTGTAGAAAGCTGTAGACAATTATCATTTAGATTCAATTTAGACATAAACGAAGGGATTATTAATGGATTATAGTAATTAGAAAAGGAAGGATCAATAAAATTAAAAAAAGTTCTACAATCTAGATGAATGAAGAAAAATAACAATATATTATAACGACAATATAGGAATATATAATAAAAAAATACAATATTTCAGGACAATTCACTATCTAGTCCCAAGCTAGGTAGAGTTTGTTTAAATGTAATAAGTACGTAGTATGTAGGTACCGTTCTTTCTTGTTAGTTTTCAGCTCGAAAGCACTCTGAACTGATAATAGAGTTGACATAAGAATCTGTAATAGATCTTATGAATAAAAAGATATTTTGATTTAATTTTACCGTTACTACTCACCTATTTCCGGCGCCAACTAGCTCTCTTTGTAAGCTTGTGATTAGGCATTGAATTACAGGATATCATCTTAGTCTTCTGAAATGGCATACATGAATGGTATCGCGCATGTCAGATGATAACGTGATGTACGTAGTGCTGTTTATATGTATAGTTGCCTACCATCACTTTGGTTGTACCTTCCGATCGATCCCGAGTGCAATTTAAATGGGGGTCGAAATTACGAGGGTCTGAGCCGATGTTCGAACCCCTAGCGGTGCCCTCAGACTAAAGCGGGAGTTGGCCTTCAGACGCTCCATAAGTTCTTCCGCAAGTTTGGAGTACTATCTGCACTCGCCCCCTTTGGTTGGGTGAGGCTGTACAGGCTAGCTGCGGCAGACAGCAGTTGAGCAGCCCGAAAAAAAAAACTGCTCACTTTCGTTGATATTAATTTTTTTTTTTTAGTTTAATTGTGGAAATACTGCTACTCTGCCCTTAGATTATATCATAAAACAAATGTACAAATTAATTACCCTTTGAACAAACATGTCTTGTTCCCTATTTTCACCCACCGTTTCCTGTTATTCTATTTTCACCTCTGAGAGTTTTAAATAAAAATCAACCCTAAATAAATAGGCTTTGTTGGAATCCACTTCTGGTGTTTTTGAATTTTCAGGGTTGTCACCCCTTATCAATGCTGAAGCCTCGGCGTACATTCGCGTGAATCGTTCACTTACTTGCCCTCCCTGGTTTACTTGGTAATTAATTACTAACCGTAACAATAGAACAGTTTACCCCGAGTCTATAGATTTTCAGTAAATTACAGATTGATGAATTGCACGCTATACAGTCTACCCAAAAATGTATACAGAACTATATTGTTAATGTATATATATTATATAATTAGGTACACCACTATGTTTTTATTCTATGAAAATGTTAAAAACAGAGGGACTAATTATAATAATATAATAAAGTATACGAAAGAAACCTAGGTGGTGCGCTACTCCATTAGTAGCGAACCACCGTATATTCAATATACAAAATTGTGGTTTTATCAGAAGATCCAGGTTACTATTTAGTTCTTCTTATTGGATACGTTCTTGACAGAAAGGTCGAATATACTCCTTTTTTTAGAAATTATAACAGTCGTATCGTAATGTACGTTTAAAAAATATTTTTACTTTGCATGGTTGTGATATTGACTTTGGTAAATGCATTATGAAACTGAGGATTCAAGATGTAATTAGTTTCGAATTAAATCATGAAGTTGATAATAAAAATCACAATATAGAATAACTATATATATATACTATTACAGGTATGTATATAT